GAGATCTCAGCCCTGGCGGGTGGAGATCGATCGGCATCGCAGAGATGATGCCGGCAGATTAATTAGCGACAGACAGCCTTCAGCTTCGTGTCCCACTGCTCCTCGCTACAGTCTGAGATGTGAATGCTATTGATTTCCCGAGTCCCGCCTTCCCTCTGCCCTGTAATCCTTTTGCTGGTGGGGATCTCAGCAGAAAAATTTGTGGTGGATATGTGTTTGCACATACACATGCATAAATATCAAGCAGTGGAGGTTTAAGAAACCGCTGTTGCCCAAAGCAAGTGAACTTTAGGTTATTTGTCATCAAGATAATATTAACAAGAAGAAAATATTTAGTTGTTAAAGTGGAAGAAACAGCCCCTGCCTCCCAAGGAGGATTCCCAGCCCTCCCTGCCCAGGAGCCCGGCATTCCCCGCGGGTCTCACTGGGGTGGGCCTGGGACCTGCTCCCAGCTGTGAGCCTCCACCTTTGTGTCACCACCACCACCAGCTTCATCCCACGGGGATTTCACGAAACAAAGCACTGCAGAATTTCCATGGAGAAATGCAAAGGTTCGGATGTTTTGTCCCAGTTTGTGATGAAGATTTTCCCTTCCCCGAGATAACTCCAGAATGTGACGCTTGATTTGTCCAGTTCTAGGCAAGTCCTGGTCGTTACCCCAACCCTTACCTCCATCCTGCCAGGGAACTGGGGGAACCAGGGGCTCTCATGTTCTCCGTATCTTTTCCCCTTTCAACTCATGGTCCCTCATGGCCGTCGCAACATTTGCCTGTCTCCTCTCTCCTCATACTCATATTTCTCAAGCCAAGGAATGTCGCGGGGGCACAGCTGGTGGGCGCCAGGAGCCAAAGGAGGTGGCTGGGATGGAGGGGGATGTAGGAGCAGGTCCTGACACCGTGGGCCACCTCCACCCCTTGTGTCACCCCCCAATTACTGTGGTTTTCCAATCGGTTCAACTGAACTGCAGTGGTGTTGCGACCTTTTTGGGGGGAAACACCCCATATACAATTCAAACAGCATCACCCACCACCCCATCTCGCTCCTGTCGATATCTCCAAGCTTGATCCTGATTTCTAATCTGCATTTCCAGCAGATGCAGCAAACACACCTGCAGGCTGGCGGGGCGCAGAGGGAAACGGCCAGGAGCAGGCAATTGATGTTGCCGATACCAGTCCTTCTCATTATTAGGAATCACCAAGGGGATGCAACAGCGCTTACACAGAGTCCCAAGGACTTTGATTTATCTCAGCCCAGCGGTGTCTTCTGCATCCCCCAGAGCAGAGACTGGTTGCAACAGAAATGGAGATGCACCATGTGGGAGCCGGGGCCGCTTCCAAAGCTGAGGCTCCTGGCAAGAGGCACATCAGAAAAGCAAGAGCCAGCTTAGAACGAGAGGACTTCTTGATCCTTTAACTTGTAATCGCTGATCACAGCAACATTAGACAAATGAATGTTGAAGCTGGGTCAAGTAATTATTGCGGGTTCATAGCTGCACGCCGCAGAGTTCTCCGGGCAGTAACATGTCTGACAATTGTAAATAATACGCAGCCAGAGCACGGGGCTGCTTGCCTCTTGCTGAGATGGAAGTGAAGGCACACGCTGCTGCGCCAAGAAAAAAACAGCTAAATGTTTATGGCCAAGGGTTGCTTCCAAACGCACTGGCTGCATTCCTCTTTGTAGGGCTTTTTGCTGCCTGTTTACACGATCACTACGGCAGAAATGGCATCAGACACCTGCCAGGGTGAAAAATGGCCACGGGAAACAAGAGGCAGAGCAAACAAGGAATGATGGTTTTACTTCGGCAAAAGGGCAGCTAGAGGAATGAGAGCAGGGAAAAAAATGACCAACTCTGAGCAGACACCAAAAGGGAGCAAATGAGGAACGCTCAGCGGAGTTCAGGGGAAGCCACGGTGCCGGTGGTTGGTACGGAGCCAGCAGGAGCCTGGAGAAGCAGAAAGGAACTGCACAGAGCAAAAGAGAGACACACTCGGGAAATCTTTTTCTCCTTATCACTTGTCCCTCCTTATCAGGCTGAGAAATGGCGGTGCCTTCCGTGTGCATCTCGGCTCTTGGGCTTCTCCCCCTTCTGAATACCAATGTGGGAGCTTGAAATTGGACCTGCTCACTGCACCCCGGGAGCTGCTCGAACCCATGAGGGGATGGAAGGAGCCTCTCAGTGCCCCTGCCCAAAGCCGTGCCTGCGAAGGATGGGGCCTTTCAAGGCTAAACCTTATCAATCCCACTCGAATCTCTTCAGTGCCTACCCAGCAGGGTAGGGAGCGATGCGATGCTCCAGTGGGATCCCACTCCTCCGCTTCCCTGCTGTCCATCCCTGTGCTCGCCCACGCAGCACCACTGCTCAGGCTCAGCGGTCCCACGCTGCGAAGTCACCCATGTCCCTGCAGACAAACGGCCAACGAATGGCTCCTCAAGAAGGGGTTAGGTAGCCCTCTGTCAGGGGCACGCAATCCTTGAGCAGGGGACAGACAGCCGCGGGGTGTCCCCCGGTACTGCTGCCATCTCCCCGCCACGGAAACGGGTGCGCCCAAGAGCGGTGGCAAGTGCACTATGTGGTTTGACTGTTTCAGAAAATAACCTTGGTTTCTGGGGTGGTGGGATCCCTACCAGTCCCCAGCGCTGTGGACGTGCACGTACAAGCAGCCGGAGGAAAGAGCACCGGTGACTGTCCCATTTTGTCTGGATGTTTCCAGCGCCAAGCAGATCACTGCCTCTCTGGGATGGTGTGAGATCATCCCCAGCAGTGGGGACCGTCGCACACTGTGTCAGGGCTCTGAGGGTGCTTAATTGCCCTGACGAGCCTCACCGGGGGCTCCCTGACCCATCTGCCCAGGGTCCCGGAGCTCCAGCTAAGCTCAGGTCTTGGCCCTTGGCCCCAAACTGGCCAAACCCTCAGTCACAGGGGCCTGTCAGCATCCAGCCCTCACCCTCTCACCGTTACTGGGGAGTTGCTGTCAACCTGCCTCAGTTTCCCCACCTTTGCCACCAATCCCCCTGTGTCACCCCACGGCTTAGCTGTTGAGCATCAGGATCCCGGAGCCAGTCTCCCCGCACCCTCAGGGACTGCCCGTGAATGGTAGCAAGGGCTCAACCTTTCCTCTGGGCCAGGGCCCCGTGCCCCACATATGGGATCAGAAGCCATCCTTCTTCAGCCCCTCCCTGCCCCCACGCTGCCTTCGCAGAGACCCTGCAGCCCCTCTGAGCTCCAGCTTCAAGGCTCCTCTCCCAAGAGAGGTCCAAAGACACCGTCACGGGAGGCACAGAGCAACTGCGCCAGCGGGCAGCCCCGAACGCCTGCACAGAGAGAGGGAAATGAGAGAGAATACAGAGACGTTCCAAGTAATCTTATTTTTCCATTGGCTGAAAAGGAACCGCTATGCTGCACTGCACGTTGCCAGGATATTTTAAAGACCTTAGACAACCTTCAGAGTAAGCACGGTTGCCGAGCCGGCGGCAGGAGACCCGCCAGGCCCCCTCCCCGCTCTCCAGCGGCAGAGCGGCACCCCACGGGGGGTCCCAGGCTCAGGGACCCCTGCACCCCGGCCCACCCAGCCCTGCCTGCGCCCCACTCCGTGCTTGTGCAAGCCTCAACGCAGTCATCTTACTGGTATGATTAATAGAAAGCTATGGGACTATTGAGCGTGTTGCATTTATTAGATACATGTGGCTATTCTAATAATTATTACTACAGCCCCCTGACCCAGCCCTCAGCAGATAGATTTCTTGCCTCCCAGCTCTGAAAGTCACCTTGTGCTGTCAGAGGGGAAACTGCAGGAGCCCCAGGAGCCCCCCGTATCGCACGCATGCCCTGTCCTCTGCAAAACTTCCCCCCAGACATGCTTTGCTGGGACTCAAGGAAAGTTCAACCAGGCTCAGGGCCGGGTCCTGCACTTGAGGCACAACAACCCCAGGCAAGGCTGCAGGCGTGGGGAGGAGCGGCTGGGAGCTGCCTGGCGGGAAAGGCCCTGGGGGTGCTGGTCGACAGCTGCTGAACATGAGCCAGCAGTGTGCCCAGGTGGCCAAGAGGGCCAATGGCATCCTGGCTTGTATCAGGAACAGTGTGGCCAGCAAGAGCAGGGCAGGGATGGTCCCCCTGCACTGGGCACTGGTGAGGCCGCCCCTCGAATCTTGTGCTCAGCGCTGGGCCCCTCACCCCAAGGCGGCCATGGAGGGGCTGGAGCGTGGCCAGAGCAGGGCAGCGAGGCTGGGGC